ATGACCGTATTAGCGGAACGCCGTAAAGCGAAATGCCGTAAAGCAGAGCCCTACTGTATTTTCACTTCTCTCTCACGCATTGCATCCATTCCCCTTGTATTCTATTTACCCTTTAATCTTACTGTAGCTACCACTGAATAATGCTCCAACATATCTTACATTCCTTTAAGAATATGCACATCCAGAAATCTGTTCATCAACATTCTGTCTACCAATACAGTCTAGCCAGCTGCTCTCATTGCACCCTGTATCATATATATTGTACATTTATTTATCCTTGTTTTCTTAAAATGAGTATCTTTTAGCAACCTGGGCTTTCCCGCTCTTTCATTTACTCTTGGCACCTTTAACCCTTAAACTGTCCAAACATAGATCTACGTTTTTTCAACATTTGAAAGTGTATGTAAAAAAAGTAGATTTTTTTTTTTTAAATTTGAAAACGTGTAAAAAAACTTTGATCTACTTTTTTTTTTTTTGTTTGAAAATATGTAAAAACAAAACGTAGATCCACTTTTGGAGCACTACGCATGTGAACATAGATCTGCTTGGACAGTTTAAGGCTTAACCCTTTGACTGTCGCAACCCCCAATCCTGAGGTGTCTCCTGGTGTCGCAAAATTTCAAAAAAAAAAAAAAATAATTTTTTCTTATGAAAAGATAGAGAATCTTTTCCCGATTGTAAAGACACCAAAAAAAAAAACAAAAAAAAAAAAAACAAATTTGATGGAAAACTGACGGAATTCGCTCTCGTGAAGTTAGCGACCTCGGCGATATTTACAAATCAGCGATTTCGCCCACTTTGAGCCCTATTTTCGGCTAATTCCATTATTCCAATCAACCAAACTCATAGCTATTTCTTCAGAACTCCATTTTTTCCATTGATTGAGTACAAGAAACTGCCCATTTACCGATTTCAACCACCCAATAACATGGTCAGAAATTTGCAATTTGGCCAATTTCACGAAAATTAAAAATATGACAATTTCAAAATAAGGACCAGAATGAACAATGCAGACATTCCTGGCTCTAAAATAACATTTTCTTTGTTCATCAGTCATGTCTCCAGGCCCCTGTGATATTACTCTTGCTTTTTATTTTGAAATTTTATTCAAACAAAAAATAGAAGATTTACTGTTATGCAGACTACTGTAATAATTGTAAAAATTACATCAACCCATTCATGACTGCATATTAGAATGGCTATTTGGACATTTATTGGACAATGACATCATTTGTTTACTTTTGAACATCGGCAAAAATCAAACATTTCCCGTACTTTGTGCTCCGTTTCCAGGTTCTTTTTATAGTAAAATTAATCAAAATCACCTCTATTTCTATAATATAGTTTCCATTCTATCAAATGAGACCATGAAAACGAGAATACAACCACAAATACTATACGAAAATAGACCACAAAATCGGCATTTTAATTAAAAAAAACGGTCGGAGTTTTTTTTTTCTCATTATGCACTGCGTGCTCCAGGATTTTTTTTTATATGGTGCACACTGACCACACAGACCCATTCTCTCACATGTGGGCCTACCAGCTTTCTCCTGCCTGATTTGAAGCCACTAGAATTTGAGTATACGTCAAACACGGTACCTCGTAAATGTATATATACGGCCGCGACAGTCAAAGGGTTAAAGTTGCCTACCTCGCTATCTACAAATAATCTCCTCCACTTTAGCATTAATTAAGGCTCCCCTAGAACAAATATTTTTGCACAGTTAAAATTCTGTAAATATTCATTTAACATTACTGCAGATCTCTCATCTACTTACATCTTGCCCATCAGTGCGTACACACTTAAAGTGGCTTGTTCCCATAAGGAATAATGTAAATTAGATTAGTCTGTTTCAGACCCCCAAAGATACAATTACAAAAGCACTAAAAAATACACTTACAAAAGCTCTTACAAAAATACACTTAAATAATTGTTCGAGTTGGGAGCTGTTCAAAACTCGAGTTACTACTGTATAACTCGTTTCTCACATCTCACCTTTTGTAGTACAAAGGCATAATTCAGAGAGCAGAGTAGTTATGGAAATGGTTTGCTCATATAGAGAGACTGAAACAAGATACTACATATTGTTCAGAGGGCTGTATGAATCTGTGGTTTTCACAATTTAATGTGCTGTTGGAGTGTGATTAAGGAAAGTGGGTGCGGGAGGGAAGAGGAGCGATTGGTGGAATGATGATGTGAAGAGAGTAGTAAGGGAGAAAAAGTTAGCTTATGAGAAGTTTTTACAAAGTAGAAGTGATGCAAGGAGGGAAGAGTATATGGAGAAAAAGAGAGAGGTTAAGAGAGTGGTGAAGCAGTGTAAAAAGAGAGCAAATGAGCGAGTGGGTGAGATGTTATCAATAAATTTTGTTGAAAATAAGAAAAAGTTTTGGAGTGAGATTAACAAGTTAAGAAAGCCTAGAGAAGAGAACAAATGGATTTGTCAGTTAAAAATAGGAGAGGAGAGTTATTAAATGGAGAGTTAGAGGTATTGGGAAGATGGAGGGAATATTTTGAGGAATTGTTAAATGTTGATGAAGATAGGGAAGCTGTGATTTCGTGTATAGGGCAAGGAGGAACAACATCTTGTAGGAGTGAGGAAGAGCCAGTTGTGAGTGTGGGGGAAGTTCGTGAGGCAGTAGGTAAAATGAAAGGGGGTAAGGCAGCCGGGATTGATGGGATAAAGATAGAAATGTTAAAAGCAGGTGGGGATGTAGTTTTGGAGTGGTTGGTGCAATTATTTAATAAATGTATGAAAGAGGGTAAGGTACCTAGGGATTGGCAGAGAGCATGCATAGTTCCTTTGTATAAAGGCAAAGGGGATAAAAGAGAGTGCAAAAATTATAGGGGGATAAGTCTGTTGAGTATACCTGGTAAAGTGTATGGTAGAGTTATTATTGAAAGAATTAAGAGTAAGACGGAGAATAGGATAGCAGATGAACAAGGAGGCTTTAGGAAAGGTAGGGGGTGTGTGGACCAGGTGTTTACAGTGAAATATATAAGTGAACAGTACTTAGATAAGGCTAAAGAGGTCTTTGTGGCATTTATGGATTTGGAAAAGGCATATGACAGGGTGGATAGGGGGGCAATGTGGCAGATGTTGCAGGTGTATGGTGTAGGAGGTAGGTTACTGAAAGCAGTGAAGAGTTTTTACAAGGATAGTGAGGCTCAAGTTAGAGTATGCAGGAAAGAGGAAAATTATTTCCCAGTAAAAGTAGGCCTTAGACAAGGATGTGTGATGGCACCGTGGTTGTTTAATATATTTATAGATGGGGTTGTAAGAGAAGTAAATGCGAGGGTCTTGGCAAGAGGCGTGGAGTTAAAAGATAAGAATCACACATAAAATGGGAGTTGTCACAGTTGCTCTTTGCTGATGACACTGTGCTCTTGGGAGATTCTGAAGAGAAGTTGCAGAGATTGGTGGATGAATTTGGTAGGGTGTGCAAAAGAAGAAAATTGAAAGTGAATACAGGAAAGAGTAAGGTTATGAGGATAACAAAAAGATTAGGTGATGAAAGATTGGATATCAGATTGGAGGGAGAGAGTATGGAGGAGGTGAATGTATTCAGATATCTGGGAGTGGACGTGTCAGCGGATGGGTCTATGAAAGATGAGGTGAATCATAGAATTGATGAGGGGAAAAGGGTGAGTGGTGCACTTAGGAGTCTGTGGAGACGAAGAACTTTGTCCTTGGAGGCAAAGAGAGGAATGTATTGAGAGTATAGTTTTACCAACGCTCTTATATGGGTGTGAAGCATGGGTGATTGAATGTTGCAGCGAGGAGAAGGCTGGAGGCAGTGGAGATGTCATGTCTGAGAGCAATGTTGGTGTGAATATAATGCAGAGAATTCGTAGTTTGGAAGTTAGGAGGAGGTGCGGGATTACCAAAACTGTTGTCCAGGGGCTGAGGAAGGGTTGTTGAGGTGGTTCGGACATGTGGAGAGAATGGAGCGAAACAGAATAACTTCAAGAGTGTATCAGTCTGTAGTGGAAGGAAGGCGGGGTAGGGGGCGGCCTAGGAAAGGTTGGAGGGAGGGGGTAAAGGAGGTTTTGTGTGCGAGGGGCTTGGACTTCCAGCAGGCATGCGTGAGCGTGTTTGATAGGAGTGAATGGAGACAAATGGTTTTTAATACTTGACGTGCTGTTGGAGTGTGTGCAAAGTAACATTTATGAAGGGGTTCAGGGAAACCGGCAGGCCGGACTTGAGTCCTGGAGATGGGAAGTACAGTGCCTGCACTCCGAAGGAGGGGTGTTAATGTTGCAGTTTAAAAACTGAAGTGTAAAGCACCCTTCTGGCAAGACAGTGATGGAGTGAATGATGGTGAAAGTTTTTCTTTTTCGGGCCACCCTGCCTTGGTGGGAATTGGCCGGTGTGATAAAAAAAAAAAAAACTTAAACAATATTCACTGGAAAACTAGTTAGCCAAATTTTACCTTTAAACGTTCTAAACGTATATATACGTTCTCTCATGTAGCGCCTCGAATATTTTGATTTTTTTTTTTTTTTTTTTTGGTAGGAAAAAAGAGCATGTGGTATCCAGGCATCCTCAATCTTTTTCATATGGCGGACACTTGAGTGCACACACCCAATCTCTAATGTCTAGGCGACTCGGTCCTATCGTGTCAATGTTGAATGAATGACAAATGAAACGTATATATACGTTTGGGGCACTACGCGAGAGAATGTGTATATTCATTTGGACCGTTTAAGGGTTAATTTCTGGAAATGAAAATTATAGTGGGTGTGATATTGAAGTTTGTGGGTCATTTAAATTGTGATGTCACCACTTTCAGGAAGACAGCTACTGAGTGAATGATAAATACACCTCTTTGGAATGCCATATCTTGTTGGGAAAGAGCTGATGTTTTTTAAAGAAAGATATTGAAATATTGATTTGGGCTTAGTTTACTGCATTTTTCTTTTTTGTTTGATTTTATAAAATTATGTCTCGGGTGCTATTTCTAAATTTGTTGAATACCTATTTCTAATTACTTTTCAGGTGAATATGCCTGCCGACAGCTTTGAGTCACCCCTGACCCTGGCTGCTTGTGGTGGCCACACTGACCTTGCACTCCTGCTTTTAGAAAGAGGAGCAAATATCGAGGAAGTTAATGATGAGGGATATACCCCTCTCATGGAGGCTGCCAGGGAAGGACATGAAGAAATGGTCACACTGCTGTTAGCTCATGGTAACTGCAATGTTTTATAATCAGATGTTTTGCCACAAAATGTTTCAAATGTCTTTTGTATATTTAAATTGAAAATTTAATAGTTCACTGTAAATGAATAGAATAATTTTAAAGAAATTACATATTGCAAAATTGCTTAAAGTATGTTTACGACTTATTTTTCAGGTGCAGATATTAATGCACAAACGGAAGAAACACAAGAGACTGCATTGACATTGGCATGCTGTGGTGGCTTTCGAGATGTTGCTGACCTACTCATCAAGGCTGGAGCAGACCTTGAACTTGGGGCATCAACACCACTCATGGAGGCAGCACAAGAGGGACATAGAGACCTAGTTGAGTAAGTTCTCCTTGTCATCCTTCCCCCCCCCCCCACCCCTCTCAGTATATATATTGTGTGGTATATTGTGTGTTGTAATTTTGAGAATGTCATTCTTCATTTTTACTGTACCTAGATTACTCTTGTGAAGGTTTTGCATTTGCTCAAGATAGTTATGTAATGAGTTGTTGATTATGCTATTTCTTGTTTATACATGAAATAGTAAGTCATTTTTCAGGTTATAAAGTACAATAAACCCTCTTATATAGTGAGGATTTTTTTGTAAATGATATTGAAAAAATATGTATCCAAAACATCGATATGTAAATCCTTTAAAAAATTAATTAAGTAACATGCAAAATTTGAGTGGCCCCCTTCATAGATTTTTCTCAAATTGCTTGTCAGGCCTTGAGTGATGGCCCCCAAACTTCCACTGTTTTAGCTAACTGAGGGAAAGTCATAACCATTACACAGCATTTTTCTTGCTTGATGTCCGAAATTTATTTACCTTACGAATACTTGTATAAAATACTATAAAACATTTGTGGAGAATATTCAGTGTTATATTAAGAATCCTTAATAGTTGGTAGAAGAAAACTTTATTCTGACCATTACACTTGAAGGTCAGTAAACTATCATTGTACCTTATAATTAGACATGAACAAATGTTTTACTTAGTGGACTAGGTCTGTTGCCTGTAACAAAACACACCAAATCTAGAGGAAAATTGAAGACCAAATGGCAACAGTGTGAATATGCAGACTTTAACAAACTAATGTGGGCCACCCCATCCTCATCCAGGAACAGTGAAAACAGACTGGTCCTGGACATTGCCCATATTGGACAGCTGTGATGCAGTGAACTTGGTCAGCTGCATTGATGATTCTGCCTGACACCCCAATGCAGTGATTCTGAACATTTATCTGCCCAAAATTTTGCCTGTCTTATCTGAAATCTGTTGCATAGGGGGTCCATTCAACCTATAGTTTACTGTATTTCCGAAGTCTCTTAAATCAATTTCCATTAAATTAGTAGAGATCAAATGCTTAATTTTATTATGAGAACTGAAGGATAGCGAGGAGGAATTGGCATAGTGAGTTAGAGGAGGAGGAATTGCCATAGCAGGATGAACCTATATCATCTTGTGATAAACCCTTAACTCTGATATATCCAGGAATTAAAATTCCTGTGTGGCAAAATTTAAAAAAAAAAAAAAAACCTTTCTTACAAATTGTTTTTATGAATTGAATACGGCTGAGTAGAATCTGATAAAAGTATTAGATTTTATGGTAACTGTAAAGCATAAATACCGCAGCAGTATTTATGCATTACAATTAATGCCAAGTTATGTTTGTTTTTAATTTTTTAATGTTTGACACTGTCCACTAGTAGGGGCGTTAGTAGATGGGGAGATGGAGGTATTGGGTAGATGGCGAGAATATTTTGAGGAACTTTTAAATGTTGACAAAGAAAGGGAGGCGATTATTTCATGCACTGGCCAGGGAAGTATAATATCTTGTAGGAGTGAAGAAGACCAGGATGTGAGTGTGGGGGAGGTGCATGTGGCATTATGTAGAATGAAAGGGGTAAAGCAGCTGGAACTGATGGGATTATGACAAAAATGTTAAAAGCAGGGGGGGATATAGTGTTGGAGTGGTTGGTATTTTTGTTTAATAAATGTATGAATTAGAAGAATTAGAGGTAAGACAGAATGTAGAATTGCGGACGAGCAAGGAGGCTTCAGAGTGGGTAGGGGATGTGTACATCAAGTGTTTACATTGAAGCATATATGTGAACAGTATTTAGATAAAGGTAGGGAAGTTTTTATTGCATTTATGGATTTAGAAAAGGCATATGATAGAGTGGATAGAGGAGCAATGTGGCAGATGTTGCAAGTATATGGAATAGGTGGTAAGTTACTAAATGCTGTAAAGAGCTTTTATGAGGATAGTGAGGCTCAGGTTAGGGTGTGTAGAAGAGAGGGAGAATACTTCCCGGTAAAAGTAGGTCTTAGACAGGGATGTGTAATGTCACCATGGTTGTTAAATATATTTATAGATGGGGTTGTAAAAGAAGTAAATGCTAGGGTGTTCGGGAGAGGGGTGGGATTAAATTATGGGGAATCAAATTCAAAATGGGAATTGACAGTTACTTTTTGCTGATGATACTGTGCTTATGGGAGATTCTAAAGAAAAATTGCAAAGGTTAGTGGATGAGTTTGAGAATGTGTGTAAAGGTAGAAAGTTGAAAGTGAACATAGAAAAGAGTAAGGTGATGAGGGTATCAAATGATTTAGATAAAGAAAAATTGGATATCAAATTGGGGAGGAGGAGTATGGAAGAAGTAAATGTTTTCAGATACTTAGGAGTTGACGTGTCGGCAGATGGATTTATGAAGGATGAGGTTAATCATAGAATTGATGAGGGAAAAAAAGGTGAGTGGTGCATTGAGGTATATGTGGAGTCAAAAAACGTTATCTATGGAGGCAAAGAAGGGAATGTATGAAAGTATAGTAGTACCAACACTCTTATATGGATGTGAAGCTTGGGTGGTAAATGCAGCAGCGAGGAGACGGTTGGAGGCAGTGGAGATGTCCTGTCTAAGGGCAATGTATGGTGTAAATATTATGCAGAAAATTCGGAGTGTGGAAATTAGGAGAAGGTGTGGAGTTAATAAAAGCATTAGTCAGAGGGCAGAAGAGGGGTTGTTGAGGTGGTTTGGTCATTTAGAGAGAATGGATCAAAGTAGAATGACATGGAAAGCATATAAATCTATAGGGGAAGGAAAGAGGGGTAGGGGTCGTCCTCGAAAGGGTTGGAAAGAGGGGGTAAAGGAGGTTTTGTGGGTGAGGGGCTTGGACTTCCAGCAAGCGTGCATGAGCGTGTTAGATAGGAGTAAATGGAGACGAATGATACTTGGGACCTGACGATCTGTTGGAGTGTGAGCAGGGTAATATTTAGTGAAGGGATTCAGGGAAACCGGTTATTTTCATATAGTCGGACTTGAGTCCTGGAAATGGGAAGTACAATGCCTGCACTTTAAAGGAGGGGTTTGGGATATTGGCAGTTTGGAGGGATATGTTGTGTATCTCTATACGTATATGCTTCTAAACTGTTGTATTCTGAGCACCTCTGCAAAAGCAGTGATAATGTGTGAGTGTGGTGAAAGTGTTGAATGATGATGAAAGTATTTTCTTTTCGGGGATTTTCTTTCTTTTTTTTTGGGTCACCCTGCCTCGGTGGGAGACGACCGACTTGTTGAAAAAAAAAAATGTATGAAAGAGGGGAAGGTACCTAGGGATTTGCAGAGAGCATGTATAGTCCCTTTATATAAAGGGAAGGGGGACAAAAGAGATTGTAAAAATTATAGAGGAATAAGTTTACTGAGTATACCAGGAAAAGTGTACAGTAGGGTTATTATTGAAAGAATTAGCGGCAAGACAGAATGTAGGATTGCGGATGTGCAAGAAGGTTTTAGAGTGGGTAGGGGATGTGTAGGTCAAGTGTTTACATTGAAGCATATATGTGAACAGTATGTATTTAGATAAAGGTAAAGAAGTTTTTATTGCATTTATGGATTTAGAAAAGGCATATGATAGTGGATTGGGGAGCAATGTGGCAGATGTTACAAGTATATGGAATAGGTGGTAAATTGCTAAATGCTGTAATGAGTTTTTATGAGGATAGTGAGGCTCAGGTTAGGGTATGTAGAAGAGAGGGAGACTACCTCCCGGTAAAAGTAGGTCTTAGAAAGGGATGTGTAATGTCACTATGGTTGTTTAACCCTTTGACTGTTTCAGGCCCCTCTCTGAAACTGTCATTCTATGTCGCTCAATTTTTGAAAAAAAAAAAAATTATTTTTTCTTATGAAATGATAGAGAATCTTTTCCCGATGGTAATGACACCAAAAGTTCGAAATTTGGTCGAAAACTCGTGGAATTATGCTCCCGCGAAGTTAGCGGTCTCGGAGACATATGCGTATCGGCGATTTCGCCGACTTTCAGCCCTATTTTCAGCCAATTCCATTGTTCCAGTTGACCAAACTCATAGCTATTTCTTTAGAACTCCATTTTATCTATCAGCTGAGTACAAGAAACCTCCCATTTACTAATTTGGACTACCCAATATGGTGGTCAGAAATTGGCAATTTGGCCAATTTCACGCAAAATAAAAAAGAATGCCATTTCAAAATAGGGTCCAGAATAAACAAGGTAGACATTCGTGGCACTAAAATAACATATGCTCTGTTCATTAGTCACATCTCTAGCCCCTCTTATATATATATTGCTTTCTATTTTGATTTTTATTCAAACCAAAAAATACAAAATTTACTGTTATGCAGACGACTGCATTATTGTAAAAATGGTATAAATAATATCAGTGCACTAGTGAAGGAATATTAGACTCCCCAGTTGACGTGTATTGGTCGTGTGGTGTGATTTATTTACTCTTGAACATTGGTAAAAATCGAACATTTCCGCTACTTTGAGCTCAGTTTCAAGGTTGTTTTCATCGTAAAAGTAATGGAAATCATCTCTATTTCTGTAATATGTTTTCCATTTTATCACCTAAGACCATGAAAACGCGAATACAACGATAAATACTATACGAAAATACACCTCAAAGTCGGCGTTTTATTCCAAAAAAACGATCAGTTTTTTTTTTCTCATTACGCAATGTGTGCTGCAGGATTTTTTTTATGTGGTGCACACTGACCACACAGACCCATTCTCTCACATGTGGGCCTACCAGCTTTCTCCCACTTGATTTGAAGCCGCTAGAATTATTGAGTATATATACGTCAGAAACATTGGCTCGTAAGACGTATTTATACGTCGAAAACAGTCAAAGGGTTAATATATTTATGGATGAGGTTGTAAAAGAAGTAAATGCTAGGGTGTTCGGGAGAGGGGTGGGATTAAATTATGCGGAATCAAATACAAAATGGGAATTGACACAGTTACTTTTTACTGATGTTACTGTGCTTATGGGAGATTCTAAAGAAATATTGCAAAGGTTAAT